AAATTTATAACATCCCAATGCTTTTTTTTGCTGAGGTCATCAATGCGGTAGACCGTGTCGTATTATCCTCGAATGCAAAGAGAACGTTGACTCTCGCTAGGCAAAAAGCATAGTGTAGGGCCCTGAGCTTCCAAACTCTCTCGTTATTATGATGCCGCTATGGTACAATCATGTACATGGATGGTGCTGTTATGAACCCTCTGATTCTCTAAAAGTGTCAGGAGTACCGTAAAATCCCGCCAGAGCGCCCCTATCTCCTCGACGCTTCAGGTGGGGAGGGGCGGATGGGCGAGTCCTACTTGCCGCATTCAGTGCTACATGAAAAAGTACTCACCCTACGAAAACTGTTCGTGCATCTCGTACACCGACCAAAGGTCAAGAGCCAGGAGTCGTACAGACCGAACAAAACGTAGGGTTTTTGCGATCCCTGGTCAAGAGGGTGGGCACTGTTGCGTACATTTCCAACGGGGTTGAGCACGCGTCTGCAGTACAGTACGGCATCACAGACTGCGACAGAGTCATACGAGGATACAATCAATCACGTCCCTGACAAGAAGCCCGAGGGGAGGGGCGGATGGGAGGGACGGGGCGCTCTGGCGGGATTTTACGGTAGTAGTATTCTGTTATTCCCGTAGCTATGCAGAAGACGTTACTTCAGTAACGTCTGGCGCTAGCCAGGGTCCACACAGCTTTAATTTGGTATTTGTTTGTTTGTGTGTTTGTTTGTTTGTTTGTTTGTGTCACGCCTGGCGCTATCCCGTATCTGTCCCGTATCTGTGACTACAAAGGCTCTACAGGATTGTACATAACAGCTGTCCACAATATTTGCGGGCTCCTGTATCTGTCCCGTACTGTACCAATATTCATTGTATTATGCATACGACTCCCTGATGTAGAGTGGGATTTGGAAAGAAATAGGGAGACGAGGAGGAAATTAAATTAGAATAGACGCTGATTAGGTGATAGGATGCGTCAGCATAAACATACTTTGGAAGAGAGATCCCGTCGTCTCCAAAATAAACGTGAACGAGCGATTCAGTGCCGGTCACAGGAAACGTCGGAAGAGAGATCCCGTCGACTCCAGAACGCCCGTGATCGGTAGAGTCCGGCGGTACCAGGCAACGTCAGGACAGACATCCCGTTGAGTCCAGAACGCCCGTGATCGGCAGAGTCTAAGCCGGTCCCAGGAAACGTCAGGTCAGACATCCCGTCGAGTCCAGAACGCCGTGATCGGCAGAGTCAGCGCCGGTCCCAGTAAACGTCAGGACAGACATCCCGTCGACGCGCAGAAAAACTAAATCTGCAGCCTCTTTTGCCGTCGAACAGGATACGTATTTATATACGAGACTGTAAAGTTATGTAATGTCCAAATTTCGATGTGAGCAGCAGGTCACTCGCGTTGATTTTTTCGACGTGCGAGCCAAATAACGCGAGCTGAACTTTCGCGTCGCAGACATCCCGTCGACGCGCAGAAAAACTAAATCTGCAGCCTCTTTTGCCGTCGGACAGGATACGTACGTATTTTAGGAGACTGTAAAGTTATGTAATGTGCTCCACAGGCAACCATGCATTCGGCGTCGTCATTGGCTCAACAGGTCAATGTAGATGTATTACTACAAAAAGGCCAGAAAATTCGATTCCTGTATTAAAATCAACTAATGTTCGCTGGCAATTTAATTTCGCTGATTTCGCCGCTTGGTACCAACCGGACAAAGTAAATCGCAGGCCAACGTTTGTCATACAGGCAAATGATGCATGATTGAGCAATGGATGCATGTGAGAGCAAAAATACCGATCGATTTCAAATTTGACGTGAAACTGCGCGTCACGTCGGAAATAACGTGCATCTTGACCTCTCTAATCGAGAGGTTTCTATTTCTCATCGGCCAAAATTTGTTGATTTCCAATATAAGGAGATAAAAATTAAAGAAGGAGCAAAACAAAAGTAGATGATTATTAGAGAAACAACAATCCGCAATAAATTCTGCAAATACTTTTGCCTAACTCATAATATTCAAACCGATTGAAACGTTTTTGCAATACAGTGATGTGGCCAATGAACGGAAAAAGACAATTCCATCAGTTCTTATAACATGTACGATGAGCTAGGCAAAAAAGCATAAAAGCATAGCGTAGGGCCCTGAGCTTCCAAGCTCTCTCGTTTATAGTGGAGAAACCAAAACAGGCAGACGCCTAATAACAATGGACCCACTGTGTAGGGTGGTGGAGGAGGAGGGGGGGGGGGGGGGGGGGGGGGGACATGGCTAATGGACCGAACAACCACGCGGCACAAGGACAACTATTGAATCTTAACGGTATATTTCACTCCGATCGAATCTAATAACTATTTTGAAGAGACTCTTAGGGAGCGTTTGGTTGGTACGATCTAGAATAGGATCGAACAGCTGGTGCACAGGGAGCAGCCTCATGCCAACCAAATGGTACTCGAAAAACAGAGCACATATTTGTGAAAAATATGCCAAACTTGGTGCATTCTTCAAAGTGTGCATGGGTCACCATTTTGTCCGGTACGGCGAGTCCAACCCAAAAGCATATGCATTTGGGACCAAAGTCGATGTCCCCGCTCGGTTTCACTGTGGAAAAGTGAAACTGCTCGGTCTGCTCCGGCCTCGAGGCCGGTGCAAGCAGAACATGTTCTGGCCGACCCAAAACAGGTGCAGTCCCAACCAAACGCGCTGTTCTGGTAAATCCCGCTCTAGGTCGTACCAACCAAACGCGCCCTAAGATAACAAGCTAGTTATAGCGTGAAAATGACAGCGTATATCAGAACATTCAACTCGGATGGTGCGCCAATTAAATTAAAAAGGAGAAGGACAAAATGTTAATCATAACTCGTAACATTTTGTCCTTCTCCTATATCAGAAAGGCATACACATACAAATACAACTACAGAGCACACATCAAATCGCACATAGCGCATGTAGCGTATACCGCGCCGTAAACATCAGCGGTACGGCGGAGTCGAGATGCAACTGCATTGAAACGAACACAATGTCACCAGCGAGAAGGCCTTTCACACTAGAGAACTTGTGGTTTCATAATATTCTCCCCACCAAAGGGCTTCTCACCGTCGTGCAACAAGGTGATCCAGGGCTCTGACTACCATCCAAAACTTGTCAACTTCTGCTGCGGGGATGGCCATGGTGGAATATCAGTGATCACGACTTCAGCCAACTCAATTGCTCCGAGCTCGTCGATTTGAGCTGTGACACATGACACGGTCACTGGTCCACTGCTTCGACCCAAGGCAGACTCTGGACCAGACAACACACAACAATCTGTGTTCCACACAGTCTCGCCGTTGAGTCCTTCCTTGCTGTGCAGCATCGCCTTTCTCCTTTCCTTAGCAGAGACTCCAGCTGCTTCTCCGCGTGTCCGACCAATATCGCCATGCACTGCATCGACGTTGTGGTCCTTGGATCTGATCCTCTCACTGGCTTCAAAGACTTCACTGACCGCTGCTTGCCTGTAAACAAAGTCTTCCGTGCTTTGTATGGCGTCCTTCCGAGCGAGGCAAGCAAATCTCGCTTTGCTTCCTCATAGGTACTGTAGCCAATACAGTTCCTTTTCACAATGCTACCCGATAGCGCGATACGCAATCGCAGCAGCCATTCGTTTTCGTCGAACTTATTCTTGACACAGATGTCCTCGAACAGGTCGAGATAACGCTCCAGTGGCTGCCTTCCATCGTATATAGGGACTTTCATTAAAAGCCTACGCCCACCGCTGTGACTGGGAGCTTCCGCTGTACCTCCCAGCGACCTCACACGGGCGGCTTCACCATTATCCTCATACACCCTGGTGATGCGCTCATTCATCTCCTTGAGCTTTTCATCAAACTCTGTGCTGAGCGCACCCTCTTGCCGTCTGGCACTGCGCTCTTCACGCTCCTTGCACTGTTGGAGCCTATGCTCCACGTTCGCAGCGAATAAAGCTGGAGAAAGCATCCCAGCGGCTGCCTGCCTGTTAAGGCTGAAGTGGAAGAGACGAAGAGGTTTGTTTCAAGAGCCTCATTAGCGCGTCCAGTAGTTGTAAAAGATAACCTACACAGCACCATCCTTGCAATAATGCGGTGAACCATCTCCAGGTTGCAGAGTTGTGATTCCTCTTCCTCGGCACAATTGATTTCTGGATCTCCACCACGCCTGCACCTGCTTCTGACAATCCCTCATCTGGATTTAACCGCAATACTTGTCCGTTTCTGGAAGCTCGGAAACTTCAATACATTACGAATTCGCAGGTGCCCAGTTGCCATTGTTGTGACCCAAAGTTACACCATCATATGACAGAACAGATCCACCCCTGCCAATGGTCACTACACTTGAAGATGCATCAGATGAAGATGTTGTGGGAAATGTTGCTTTCATGGTCATCAGATTGCATGTAGTTCTCCGTCAGACTCCGATGGCTCCTCTGGGACAATTTGCAGGAAAATGAAAGGGAATAAACAATATCAAGGACATTCGCCACATGTTTTGTGTAATCTGTGTACTAATGTTCACCTGTTCCAAATTCGCGATTCTCACTCAACGGTTGTATGTTGATCGTATAATTATTTCGTCCTGTATTCAGAAGTTTTCCTGCCCATGTAACTTTCCTTTGCCTGGTCGGCACACAAGCAACTCAATATGAATGACGCCTTCGAAATCTCTTCAAATCGTTTCCATCTACTTGCAATAATGGTTTTTTTTTAGTGTAGGTGTCAAATGACACCGGTTGGCCGTTCTAGGCATACCTGCTTGCCGCTAATATGGTACCTCATCGATTATAAATCAAAGGTATATGGCAGACGAAACAGGAACAAAATTAGGAATAGTCACGAGATTTGAGCTGATTCTGATGAACCATATTTCAGTAATTCCAAAAGTTAAACCCGCTCGGTGTCAAATGACACCGCTGGCTGTTCTAGGGTTAAAGTTGTTCAACCACACTGACCTAAACTTTGAAATGGTGTGACAACTGTAACCTCTGTGCTGCAGGTCCTGCTGGCTGGGGCAACATTTCTGGCTTTGAGACGTGCGGCAATGGAACAGACCAGTCACCAATCAACATCCCAAAAGCCAGCGCAGTATATATGACCTACCCCGCACTCAATGTTACGAGCACACCATCTAATGCAAGCTTTTATTTCTACGCCAATCTAGCGGACCCTGTGCTCCTAACAAAAGTGGACATCACTGGTGGCCCACTAGGTTCGAAGCAATACCGTATCGATAATTTCCACATCCATTTTGGAAACTCTACGCTCATGTCATCCGAGCATTCAGTAGATGGTGCAAGAACAGCTGGTGAGGTAAGAGGGTTGAGTATACACAGTATTGCAGACCTTTTAAGATCTGACACTTTAAAAAGTGGCTGGGCGGTACAACTTTTTTAGGGGTAATATGACTGCATTTTGACTGCATTTTTTACTTTATCGGCAAGGTAGAGATGAAATTTGAAAATGTTTTTGGTGAATCTCTTGAGAAGAGCCTTTTCTAGCCCCCTATCGTTCTTTTTTGCTTTTGGACAAAAATTGAAAACGTTTGATAAAAGGTCCGAGTTATTTTTCCCAGGGATCTTTCATAAAACCTTTTTGCCAGCTAGCTGGCCTCTGCGTACACCGCAGAAACACCCACACACAACAGAAAGATACAGATCACAGTAGTAGTATGGTCTTTGTTCACTCACTGTGAAAGATGGAAGAGCTTAGCGTAGTGTATACATGAGCAAGAAGAAGGGCATGCCACCTCACGCATATTATACATGTACACGTATGTACCAGACAAACAGGATGCAAAAAGTGAACCACTGTGGTGAATGGGGCCGCCGGATAATTAACCAGCCCGAAGTTGGCGAAAAGAAACCCAGGACCCCGGCGGAGGCACAGCCATGAGGAAAACCGGTTAGAATATCCCCATCAGATAAATGAAAAAAACGTAGCCTGCAGGACCTATCCAGAAGTGAGAACAAAGGGGAGGGCGGGTGGGAAACTACAACGAAAAGAGAAAGGCCACGATGAAGAGAAAAGTTTGAGAACACAGACAAAAAACCAGATGACGCAATCCTGGCGCCATAACTATGGTGAAAATGCTGGCAAAAAAATACATTTTTCGTTTCATTCCCTACACTCAGCCAACGAAAAAGAACACTTTTTGCCAGCTAGCTGGCCTCTGCGTACACCGCAGACACACCCACACACAACAGAAAGATACAGATCACTGTAATATGCAAATAATCGACGTGGAGACAACAATGTTTTCGTAGGTGCACAGCATGATTGTTTGTCTCACTACACAGTTTTAGCGTTATAATATTTCTCACCCGCCGTTGCACTTAGCTCTCACTTCACCTCTATTGTTGCTGACCTTCCCTCATTCTATTTTGGCACTGTATTTTGTTCTCGTAACACATCATTGAATGTATATTTAATCATTGTTCAGCATGGTTACTCTTCAGTCACGACTTTCCACTGATGAATGTGACAAGAAAATTAATTCTGGTAAACTTTCATGACTTCGTTGTAGTGTGGCGATGACTGCAGAATTTGTTCTCTTTATTGCTATCACTGTAATAGTGTGGTCTTTGTTCACTCACGACGGAAAGGATTGCTGACCCGATAGTCACTGGTGCAGTATAGCGCGAGACACCGACAGCATGTTCTTGAGAGAATCCTCCACATACATGTTCTTTCATGTGGATGAAGGAGCTCTGGCACGCCAGCATTGGCCGCTGCCGTCGTTCCTCCCAAGCGGAGACTGTGCGTGCCATACCCTGTGGGGTCTTCACCTACGCGGGCGAGATCCGTGTGGATCAATTCGCGCGCCCGGGCGTATGTCATCTTGCCCCGAAGACATGACTGGTGGGTTGCTGCGGAGACCTTGCCAAAGAGAGGCTGAGCGGATACATGCCGTGCACTTTCCAAGAAACCCTCTATGAACGACACAGGACATGGTGTAGTAGCCTGCTGCTCCAGCCAACTCACCATGACCACATCGCCCTGGCACAACTGGTCATTCTTGCGTTGTCACAGGTGGAGGGACATATGAGTCTGCCAGGTACCTTGGCGTAACATTTGATAGCAACATGTCTTGGGATGACCACGTAACCCGCTGTGCAAACCGTGTATCACGAAAGATCGAAGTCCTGTGGAGGATGCGGCGTTGCCTCAGCACACAGGGTCGGATAACTTATTTCCAGTCCATCATAATGCCCGATCTTCTATATGGATCAAATGCATTTTCGACATCTCTGGCAGCCAGGCACTGTCATCGACTACATGTTCTGCAAAACCGTGGTGCCCGTGTAGTGTCACAGCAAACAACAGTATCTGCTCACAAGACAATACTCCGCAATAAAAGAAATGGAATGTGCCGAGGCAGCGATCTCTGAAGCTAGTCCAACTAACCTCCAGCAAGGCAGGGCAGGACTCGGCTTTAGGCATGACAAACAAGAGAAAATCAAACCTAGAAAACAAATACTCAATACCATTCATGAAGGTGACTGCCAAGACCAGCTATCCCACCTCAAAAGCCTGCAAATGCAAGGCAGCTGGTTAAAGTGGAGAGACACGATGTTTGAAGACCTCACTTGGAAAAAACTGTTGTACGAAGGCTACGGGAGGACTTTCTCCTTTCAACTAAACTGTGTATTAAACACACTACCAACAGTTGACAATCTGAGGAGGTGGGGTAACTCTGTGGTCGAACAACAATGCCCTCTATGCAACAGGCAAGCTACGCTCCGTCACATATTATCAGCATGTCCAACAGCCCTCCACCAGGGCAGATATACCTGGCGCCACGACAACGTACTGAAATGCATAGTAAAACTAGTAAACGAAACCATCCAAACTTATCAAAAGGCCACGGCATCAGCAGAAACGCAGAGTAAACAGAAGAGAATTGATTACATAACTTTCTGCAAGGCAGGAGAGAATCTCCCCAAACAGCCCCCCTCCCAACGCAAACGGCTAAATGACCAATTCGTAACTAGCTCAGCAGACTGGCAGGTCCTGGTGGACATGAAGGATGAGAAACTTGTTTTCCCCCACTTCATAGCACCTACAACCTGTCGTCCAGACATAGTGCTCTTCTCCAAAGAATTGAGAAGAGTTCTGTGGCTGGAACTCACGGTATGTAGTGAAGATCGCTTTGCACAATCGCGCGAAATCAAAATCGAACGCTATCGTCACCTTCATAGCGCGTGTGTAAGGAATGGCTGGGATACGGAAAGTCACACAGCAGAGGTGGGAACGAGAGGCGCCATATCCACCAGCTTGGATTCCTTCGCGAGATCCTTGCGCTGCACTAAGGAACAGCGCAGGTTCTTGCGGAGGAATTGTCGCCAAGCAGCGCTGAACTCAAGCTATGTCCTATGGCTAAGGCGAAGGGAGCGAACATGGCGCGACTGGCCGTTGTATTAAAACTGTTTGGTGAACCTGTTGTAGAGCACTTGGTGGGCGATCGGCCACCCAGCGAGGATAGTTGGACGTCCTTAAAATCAAGATTTGAACTCGCCATTCCGGCCTCTGAAGGGCCGGGGGTGGACGATCGCCAACCTTGCCAACCTCTCGTAGTCACTTGTTCTTGTCGAATCGTTATTTTCATAGCCTACTCGACATTCGCCCTACAAATTACCATACATCACAACGCAACTACCTGTACATGACACACCATACCATACGGACACAACCACACCCCAACTGTACTGGGGGCCTATCTCTTCGAATTGCATTATATGAGTTTCTTTTTCCTTTTTTCTTTACCCGTTACTGTCTAAAAAGCAGTCGAAACGATTTTTATCCACCATTTGATGGTGAGCATTTCCCTTACTTCTTCTTCTTCTTCTTCTTCTTCTTCTTCTTCTTCTTCTTCTTCTTCTTCTTCTTCTTCTTCTTCTTCTTCTTCTTCTTCTTCTTCTTCTTCTTCTTCTTCTTCTTCTTCTTCTTCTTCTTCTTCTTCTTCTTCTTCTTCTTCTTCTTCTTCTTCTTCTTCTTCTTCTTCTTCTTCTTCTTCTTCTTCTTCTTCTTCTTCTTCTTCTTCTTCTTCTTCTTCTTCTTCTTCTTCTTCTTCTTCTTCTTCTTCTTCTTCTTCTTCTTCTTCTTCTTCTTCTTCTTCTTCTTCTTCTTCTTCTTCTTCTTCTTCTTCTTCTTCTTCTTCTTCTTCTTCTATCACAACACTATGGAAACAGCAGCAAACTATTAAATGGCACATTATCAAGCACAGCAAAGACCACAACATCGCTCAACTGTATTGCCATCACAGAAAACAAGAACAAACGTTCACCCGTAGGTTCTCGCCAGTTGTGGAATTGGAATGTGCCGAAACGGCCGTATGGGACACGCCTGCTGCCGTATGGGACACGCCTGCTTCACGTCCGCCCAGAGCCGGACTGGGCTTCGTGACACCAAAAGCACGCGTGGTAAAACCAAGGAAACAAATCCTCAATACAATCAGAGAAGGCGACTGCCAGGAGCAGCTCCGGCACCTAAAGGGCCTACAAATGCAAGCGGCCTGGACCAAATGGGCAGACACAATGTTCGAGGACATGACATGGCGGAAACTCTTATACGAGGGCTATGGAAGGACGATATCGTTCCAAATGAACGCGATACTTAATACTCTGCCTTCGCCTGACAATCTGAGACGATGGGGCAACTCTGTTGTGGACCAGAATTGCCCTCTTTGTCAGCGGACATCAACACTGAGGCACATTCTCACCGCCTGCCCTTCCTCACTCCATCAAGGAAGGTACACGTGGCGCCATGACAACGTCCTGAAACAGATCAGTAAATTCATGACAGAAGTAGTATCAGCAAAGCAAAAGTCGTCAAATACCGAGCAAACTCCCACTAATGGTACATACATTACCTTCTGTAAACCGGGTCAAAACATCCCCCATGGCCAGTTACCTCAGCGGAAAGGTCTGAGCGATGGTTTTTTGTCAGGATCACATGATTGGCAGCTTCTTTCAGATCTGGACGAGAGGCTAGTATTCCCACACTTTATTGCACCTACCACGTGTCGTCCAGACATAGTTCTCTTCTCGAAGAAATTGAGAAGGGTTCTTTGGCTAGAACTCACGGTGTGTAGCGAAGACCGCATCATCCAGTCCAGGGAGAAGAAGCTGTCACGGTATCGCCACCTCAAACAGGAGTGTATGAAGAATGGCTGGGAAGTCGAGGCCCTCACAGCAGAGGTGGGAGCTAGAGGAGCCATTTCCAGCAGCCTGGACGGTTTGGCACGGGCATTGGGCGGTTGTAAGGAAAAACAGCGCCAATTAAGAAGGAACTGCAGAAACGCAGCACTAAAT